TACTTAGGATGCAGCAATACTAAGGATGCAGCGGTACTCAGGATGCAGCGGTACTCAGGATGCAGCGATACTCAGGATGCAGTGATACTCAGGGTGCAGTGGTACTAAGGATGCAGCGATACTTAGGATGCAGCGATACTTAGGATGCAGTGATACTCAGGATGCAGTGGTACTAAGGATGCAGTGGTACTAAGGATGCAGCGATACTTAGGATGCAGCGATACTTAGGATGCAGTGATACTCAGGGTGCAGTGGTACTAAGGATGCAGTGATCCAGTGGTACATTGAAGAAATCTTCCACTTTGTACGACTTAAATAATGGCATATTTATCAAAAATTAGATTGCGGTTTAAACATTACAAGTAGAGCTAGAAACAGTTAAAATCCCAATAGGAGGCCTGTTTCCAGACACCAACTCATTTCTTCAGGCTAAGAATTAAATTGTAAAGACTGTTAAAATAATTACAATTATCCATCAATCCAGTCAGCTTTAGGCTTTAGAATGCTGTTACACCTCTTTAGTTGAAGACTTCGTGTCTCAATTTTAGGAGGATTTGGACCCAGGAATGAAGATTCGACACAAACGGTTTGAAGAGTAACTGAAACTTTTCTGTTTTGTGACCCATCCTTTTTGTTTTCTATTTGCAGACACAAGGAGTAAAAACACAGGATTTCACATTTGAAGCTTTTAAGAAATTTGTCCAGAATGTGAGTCGAAGGCCTGAATTAGATAAGATCTTTGAAGAATGGTAGGTGACATAAATCATTGCAATTTCTTGAATATTTCAAATGTCATTTTTACTACAATATGTACAAATATATCCATATTAGAGGGATGCTGTAGCTGTGGTTTGATGATTGCAACTCGCTCACACTTGATAAACCTTTGTCACTTTGCTTCAGCGGCTCCAAGGGGAAGCCCTTTATCTCTTTGAACCAGTTCATGGAGTTCATCAACAACAAGCAGCGAGACCCCAGGCTGAACGAGGTTCTGTACCCGCCGCTGAAGAAAGACCAAGTTCGACAGATCATTGGGAAATATGAGACAGATGCCAGCCGGCTGGATAGAGGTGAGCAATGTCAAATTGGCAAAAAACAAATCAGAGTAGAAGATTTGGAAGTATGTCTTGCTGTATATTGTCACAGAAATGATGCCATGTTATTTATGCTGCAAAGCATTCTGGGTGAATGACATTTACAAGCTGGTCTGGTGCAAGCTCTATCCATCTTGAATGTTAATTTTGGACAATGTCTGATGTTCAGCCCTTTTTAAATGAAGTATATAGAATTGGCTCTAGAGCTAATGTATCCATAACTCTATATAGCATTAGCTCCAGAGATAATATATACATGTCGATTTGTGGTGTTTACTCTAGAGCTAATATACATTAAACATAGCTATATATAGCATTAGCTCTAGAGCTAATATGTACATGGCTACTGTATATGTAACATTAGCTCTAGAGCTAATACATACATGTCTATATATAGCATTAGCTCTAGAGCTAATATGTACGTAGCTTTATATAACATTAGCTCTAGAGCTAATAAATACATGGCTATACATAGCATTAGCTCTAGAGCTAATATATACTGTACATGGCTACTGTATATGTAACATTAGCTCTAGAGCTAATATATACATGTCTATATATAGCATTAGCTCTAGAGCTAATATATACAGTACATAGCTATATATAGCATTATCTCTAGAGCTAATATGTTCGTAGCTTTATATAGCATTAGCTCTAGAGCTAATATATACATAGCTATATATAGCATTAGCTCTAGAGCTAATATATACATAGCTATATATAGCATTAGCTCTAGAGCTAATATGTATGTAGCTTTAAATAGCATTAGCTCTAGAGCTAATATATACATAGCTATATATAGCATTAGCTCTAGAGCTAACATATACATAGCTTTATATTGCATTAGCTCTAGAGCTAATATATACATATATATTCAAAGCATTAGCACATATGCACATGGCGATTTATGGCATTAGCTCCAGAGCTAGTAATACGTACATAATGATATATGCTTTTAGCTCCAGAGTAAATATATTTGGCAAWGTATGGTGTTAGCTTCATAGCTAATGAATCTGGCGTTGGCTCCAGAGCTGATAATGTAAGCATCACTTTGAGCACTCTTCAATGTTTCAATTCCTATAATGTGTTGAACATAGAAACTAATATAAAATATGAATTTGCTGTCACACATTATAGCTTTTTAACTACAACGCRTTGTGGTTTAGTCTCAACTGCTTCCCCAGAATGCATTGTGTCAGCAGAAAAATGGCGGTGGTGAAAAATGAATGTTTTTTTAGTAATTAGACCTTTTCAWGTGTCACAAACAACTTTTAGTTAAAAAGAGAAATAACATTTTCCAACTTTTTGCCATGTCCTGGCCAGTATTTTCTTGACGTGAACTAAAACTGTATCTCTGTGTTGCAGACCAGATCAGCATGCAGGCCTTCAACAGTTATCTGGAAGGAGAGGAAAACCTCATCATACCTCCAGAGAAGCTGGAYATCATCGACGACATGAACCAGCCGCTGTCTCACTACTTCATTAACTCCTCTCACAACACATACCTCACAAGTAAGGGACTCTCGCGAAGAACCTAAAATGTTGAATTTAACTGCTCGGGCACGTGAAAAATAAAGATTTTTTTAATTCAAATGCATCGAGACATAATGAAAATATGTCTCGATACATTTGAACATAGAACCATTTTTTTCACACCATTACTGTCAGATTTGATCTGACTGTCACGAATCTGCCCTTCTTTAGTGGGTCAGCTAACAGGGCTGTCGTCAGTCGAGATGTACCGGCAAGTTCTGCTGACCGGCTGCCGCTGCATAGAGCTGGACTGCTGGAAAGGCAAAACTAACGAGGAGGAGCCGTACATCACCCACGGTTACACCATGACCACTGAGATCTCCTTTAAGGTGAGACAYGTTGCTTTTTATTAAAGTCGGTTATTGAAATTCCAGTTTTCACATGACGACTGTTTCAGCTCTGTTACTACCTCACTTTGCAGAGGTAGACTAGCTTTGACCTCCCTCTCCATTCTAAATTTAGGCCTGATTTGTCATAAAAATGATGTTTGACAGGATGTTTTGGACCAAAAAATTACTGCATGGATTAATGAAGGTGGAGGACAACCTCCCAATTCTTCAGCTTCACCTTAAACCAATGGTTTCAATGGTTGAAATTTGGTCACATTTGGGTTTGATCCCAGTCATGAAAACTGGTTTCAGGCCGACTTCCTGTCTCCTTTTTTTTTTAGATTTTAAAATATGAAAATATCACAGAAATATTCTGCTGAAAGTGTAACTTTGGAAACTTTTGAAGATGTGGTGGTGTTATTCCATTCTAAGTTGGATCTGTTTTCTCTCCTGGTCCACAGGAAGTCCTCGAAGCGATAGCAGAGAGCGCGTTCAAGACTTCGCCATACCCCGTCATCCTGTCCTTTGAAAACCACGTCGATTCGTAAGTCGTGTCTTTTAATGACTGACTGCATGAATTTGGATTCATTTTGTTTTTTTAAGATTTGAATTATTTTTCTTTGAAACCACTGATGACTAAAGGATTGTTCATGGTTTTTCTGTCCTTTCAGCCCCAAACAGCAGGCCAAGATGGCAGAATACTGCAAAACCATCTTTGGAAATGCTCTGCTCATTGACCCACTGGAGAGATTTCCAGTAAGATGAAAATTTAATTCATTCTGCTTCTGTGCTCTCTTTCACGACACAGAGCATCAAATTTAAAATTGTCCTTCTCTCTTAGATATTTCTCCAAATTCTTGAAATGTTATGATATTTTGTAATGCCATGCCGTGATGTTGTGTTGTGTTATGTCATGTTATATCATGCTATACCATGTCGTGTCATGTTGTAATTATGCTGTCATGTCATCTTATGTTGTGTTCTGTTGTGTCATGTTATGTAAGGTCATTAACTCACCTTTACCATTTATGTTCTTCTAGCTGAAGAACGAACAGCCGCTTCCCTCGCCGCAGGATCTGCTGGGAAAGATTCTCATCAAGAACAAGAAGAAACATATACCTAAGAGCAAAGGTAGCATACGGCGCAAAGAGGAACCGCAGTCAAGCATCAACGGTAAGAAGTTCCTGAACCATCGTTGCCTCTTGCCTGGGTTATTAGTTGTGCAAAAACAGTTCTTTTTCTGTTGTATTTCCACAACGTTAATGCAGAAGGTTTAAGCAGAAAAACTGAGGAACGTGTAGCACTCAGTGTCTGTTGTGAACGACTCACATCTACAACATCGACGAAGTTTAGCCTATTATCTGTAAAATTGACCATTAGAGCCATTGTTATGTTTTCTTGAGTCTTTGGTGACTCCAAAAGTTAACTGGTTGCATGTTTTGGAATGGTTTCAATTTTTCTGTATCCCAACACACCAGGAGGTGAAGCAGAAAGCGAAGAAGAAGAGGAATGTGAGTCGGTGACTGAGTCGAAGGGGTCCAACGACGACGAGGTAAGAACCATCAAGAGACGCTGATGGTAGCGGTTTGAGAGTGTTTTTTAGTGATAAGTACCACCTTCCTCCCTCAGGGTACAGCCAGAGATGAGGTGGTGGCCACAGAAGAGATGTCGAACCTCGTCAACTACGTCGAGCCTGTTAAATTCAAGAGCTTTGCAGTGGCAGCCGGTAAGTTCAGGAGGGAGACGAAAACAATGTTTGTGTGAAAAATCCAGTGTTTTTGTTGGCGTTGAACACTTTTAACAGCTTTGATCATTTAAGACTTGTTAACCTTCCTTTTATTTTGATTTTTACAGAAAGGAAGAAGTACTATGAGATGTCATCGTTTGTGGAAACCAAAGGCTTGGAACTCGTGAAGAGCTTTCCCAGTGAGTTTGTTGAGTATCCTTTTTGAAAGTTATCCTCCCTGAAGAGCTGATCTGATATTTTCAAGAGCAGTTTTGACCTATATACAAACAGTTCTAGACTCATTTGTGTATATAAGACAGTGAAGTTGGTATTTTGGATAATGTGTACACCTGCATGCAGCTGCGATCCTCAAAAACATCATGGCTTACCAATAAACTTTGGGTGGTCTGTTACAGTCAGGATTAAGACATGGCTAGAAACCTTTAGCCGTGTGGCTGCAGGYAACAAAAATCAACCTAAAGCCAGTTCTGTGAAGCATRTTCTTTAAAACCTGACTCTATTTTAAATGTTTTGTCTCTCAGTGTCCAACTTGTGCACCTCCCTTTACCTGTTCAGCCTTAACAGCCCTCTTACAGGTACAATAAGAACCAGATGAGCCGAATCTATCCCAAAGGGACGAGGGTCGACAGCTCCAACTACATGCCTCAGCTCTTCTGGAACGTTGGCTGCCAGATGGTGGCGCTAAACTTTCAGACTCTTGGTAAATATGTTYGTCCATTAGCGAACAACTAAGTCATGTATTTACTTAACAGACACAYATTCAGGATTGCTGTGTGAGGGAATAAAACATTTGGATTTTGATGGTTAATTTACCGATGGGTGGATTATGTACCAGTGGTGGTTCTCCTGTTTTGGTCACTCAGATCAGGCTATGCAGCTGAACATGGGRGTGTTTGAATACAACGGGAACAGTGGCTACCTACTAAAGCCAGAGTTCATGAGGAGGGCGGACAAACACTTTGACCCCTTCACAGACAACATTGTGGATGGAATTGTTGCCAAYACGCTCAGGATAAAGGTAAAAACCCAACACAGTCCCTGTATATGTTTATGTTGGTTACATGCTACTGTAACGATATARTTCCATCCCTAGGTGATCTCGGGTCAGTTCCTGACAGAGAAAAAGGCGGGTGGCGTWTACGTAGAGGTGGACATGTTTGGACTGCCAGCTGACACAAGGAGGAAGTTCCGAACAAAAACAATCATGGGAAACGCAGTGGACCCTATTTGGAACGAGGAGATGTTTGTCTTCAACAAAGTAACTTGCTGGTTTCTGTTTTTGGCAAATCTTTGCGCTCACSTTTCGTCTTCCGTCTGTTTTTCTGAACTCATCAGACATTGTCCTCTTCCAGGTGGTACTTCCCTCACTAGCCTCTTTGAGGATTGCGGTGTTGGAGGACAACGGGAAGTTTGTTGGACACAGAATCCTCCCCGTTACAGCCATTAGACCCGGTTAGAGCACAAAMCTTTCAAATGAAGCTTTTACACAAGTTTATGTGAACTCAAGAAAGAGCTTCTTATTTTGATGCATWTTCTGTTCTGTCTCTGTGAAAATATTGATCTTCCTTTAAGGCTACCGCTATATCAGCTTAAAAAATGAGCTAAACCAGCCACTTCTATTGGCCTCCCTGTTGGTTTATACAGAAGTCATGGACTACATTCCTAATGAACACCAGGGTAAGAACACAAACGTAACAACCTGACTTGACAGGACTATACTATATTAAAGGAATCTTATTACACTTTGGTCTGCTATATAGGGCCTTGGTCTGCTATATAGGGCCTTGGTCTGCTATATAGGGCCTTGGTCTGCTATATAGGGCCTTGGTCTGCTGTATAGGCCTTAGTCTGCTGTATAGTCCTTGGTCTACTATATAGGGCCTTGGTCTACTATATAGGGCCTTGGTCGGCTGTATAGGTCTTAGTCTGCTATATAGGGCCTTGGTCTGCTAAATAGGGCCTTGGTCTGCTATATAGTCCTTGGTCTACTATATAGGGCCTTGGTCGGCTGTATAGGTCTTAGTCTGCTATATAGGGCCTTGGTCTGCTAAATAGGGCCTTGGTCTGCTATATAGTCCTTGGTCTGCTATATAGGGCCTTGGTCTGCTGTATAGTCCTTGGTCTGCTATATAGGGCCTTGGTCTGCTAAATAGGGCCTTGGTCTGCTATATAGTCCTTGGTCTACTATACAGGGCCTTGGTCTGCTGTATAGGTCTTAGTCTGCTGTATAGTCCTTGGTCTGCTTTATAGGGCCTTGGTCTATTATATAGTCCTTGGTCTACTATATAGGGCCTTGGTCTGCTGTATAGGTCTTAGTCTGCTGTATAGGTCTTAGTCTGCTGTATAGGTCTTAGTCTGCTGTATAGTCCTTGGTCTGCTATATAGGGCCTTGGTCTATTATATAGTCCTTGGTCTGCTATATAGGGCCTTGGTCTATTATATAGTCCTTGGTCTGCTATATAGGGCCTTGGTCTGCTGTATAGGCCTTAGTCTGCTGTATACTGTAGTCCTTTGTCTACTATATAGGGCCATGGTCTACTCTATAGGGCCTTAGTCTGCTGTATAGTCCTTGGTCTACTCTATAGAGCATTGGTCTGCTATATAGGGCTCAGGCCTACCATTGTAGTGTCCATGATGTAGTTAACGTCCTTAAGTAGTGTTAAAAATCATCTGTTGGTTGTTGTTAGCCTAGCATAGCGGCTAATGTGTCATGGATTCTAATCTATTTTTTGAAAAGTTGTTTGTTTGGAAAATGAAACCTTATATTGTTAAAAAWTTTCAAACTTGTTTTACTGAAACCATTTTGATGTTGCTTAAAATATTAGTTAACTTCTATGTTTTTGATTTTTTTTATTTGGTATTGTGATTAGCACTAGCCTGTATTAGCCTGTTCAAGTTAGCTAATGGTTGGTATTTCTTTGGTTTCTGTGTTTGGTGTTTAGAATATGCTGATGCTCTGACCAACCCCATCAAACACATCAGTGGGCTGTCAGAGAGAGAGAACCAGCTGGCTGCTCTCATAGAGGACTTTAATGTGGAGGTGAGCCACAGTTTGACTGTTATTAACAATAATCAACTTSCACTGATCTGTGCTGGCAAAACAAGTCACAATAAGGATATTTTACTATTGAGTTTTTAATATTGTAAAATGTTTGTGTTATTGGTCTGGAGAGACGTCATCAGTAGTTTCAGCTCTATAATTAAAAAGACAAATCCCCAACCTTCACAGTGACGTCAGAAATTATAGGAAGGGATTTCCCAGAACCACGGCAGCGAATAATGGTCAATTTCAAGAGAAATTCTAAGGATCATTATACCTGTTATAAAACTTGGGTTTAAAGGTAGATTCAGAAGCCATTGAAGTTACTGGGTAAATCTAATGGGGTCTTTATAAACTAGTTTTGACCCAATTACTGAAAACTTTTGACATTTTTACGTTCTTTAGCACTGCTCAGCCCAACTTGTCACCTTTAATGTTGTTTTGCAGAGTTCAGGTCAGTTTTAATTGATAAAATCTGTTTGTTCAGGATAACATCAACATCCCTGAACCACACGGAGAGACTGTGGACTTTACAACGGATCAACAGTCCTTCCCCTCACAAACACTTCCCTCCCCAGAGGATTCTCCAGACATCATCAGGATTCCTACACAAGGTCAGGGCATAAACTTTTMATAGATTTTAACAAGAAATCGTCCAATTTTAAGCTGCCATACATGTTGTACTGCACTTTAGCTTTTGCTGTTAGTCACCTAAAACGTTTGTCATTTTCAGTCAAGTCTTACTGTTTTCTCAACCTTTGAATAAATGTGGTGTCAGTGCATCATTGTCAWTGTTTTCATGAACTAATATTTATTCCTTATTTTTAATTGTGGAGTTCTTTATAAAAATAAGGCCTTCAACAAAAGATAAAATCATGTCTCTTCACTTTTTTTTTTACTTAAAAAGCACCATTTCCATCGTCGTTCACTCATTTTAAATGTCCTGTGTGTTTTTGTGTAGTTCCATCTCCTAGGGATAATTATGTAGCGGCTGTCCTRTCAGGTAAGGTCATCAGAGTTCATTCATTTCCACACTAAAACTAATAAAATCATTTTGTTTGTCGCATTTATCTCCTTGAAGAAAAATGTTTATTGCCATTGTTCTGATCAGTAAGACCAATCTAGATGTGGGGCTAAAAGTGGTCAGCCCTCCATATCTTTATTTAATTTATTTTTCCAGAAATCAAGCCCATCTCCCTGGAAGACCTGAGGAATCACAAGAGTTACGATAAGCTGATAAAGAARCAAAGTAAAGACCTCAAGGAGCTGAAGAAAAAAAACCTGAAGAAGGTACGAGCTCAGTTTAAACACTGAAGTCGAATTGGGGATGATTTTTATGTGATGTAAAAGTATTTTCTTCTCTTGTTTTCACCAGCTCCAGGGAGAGAGCCAGAAGAAAGATAAAAACTTTAAACGTAGCATCAAGAAAGGGTAAGAAAAAAAGACCACTGAACTTATAATTAAACTTAGCTTAAATCAATAAAAAATTAAAAACTATAAATATCTTACCTGTTGTGGATCGCTATTAAAATGACCTCAGTTTGGAGAATTTATGTGTTTTAGCTGGATTGATGAGCTAATGGCTAGTCCGAGTGGAGCCAGTGTTTGTTTCTGCTGTCTGAAAAACAACTAGTTCAAACATTTTAGATGTTTTCATTAAAAGGTTTTGTTTTAAATCCAGTTTTCAGTTGATGTGTTTGTTTTTTTAATTGAATGTTGGAAGGTTACATAGCCTAACTGTAGCAGTTAAAATCCTATATTTTAGGCCAGTGTTTCCCAAAGTTGGGGTTGGGACCCAAAGTAGGGTCCCGAAACATCAAGGAGGGGTCCTGAAAAGATTTTCTGAATTAATTACATTTTTGCCTTAGTTGTTACAAATGAGTGAGGTTAGTATATTTAAAATGGATAAATATAATATAAAACATATTGTTACTATGCCCATGTTTAGTTGACCTGATACAAATGTTTATCATCCAAAAATAGCTGGGGGCACAGGTCTCTGCTACTGTTATTTTGTGGGTCAAAAGCTGAAAAGTTTGGGAACCACTGCACTTTGGTTCCCAAAGTTGGGCTTGGGACCCAATTATGGGTCATGAAGCACCTTGGATAATCTCCAGAAATCAATTTAAAGGGTAATAAAATAATTGCTGATGTAATATTTTCCCTATAACTATTACAAAAACACACAAAAAAGTATAAATAAGTATTTATATTTGTGTACAAGCTGTTTAGGTTGTCAAAAAGTCTGTGTTTTTAGGGTTAATAACAAAGTTCGTGTACTCAGACCAGTAATATTTGGGGTCACAAGTTTTTGCCATGGATATTTTGTGGGTCAGAAGACAAAAAGTTTGGGAACCACTGTTTTAGGCTACTGGTGGTTGTTCTTGAAAGGCATTGGTTTTACGTGCGCTCAATTAAGATTCAGCATGCCGATCTTCCGTTTGACATAAAATAAGTCATTTATTTTCAGTACAATGTCCATTGTCTTACTGTTTCCCTTAAGATCCACATAAATTCGACATACATCCAAAACCAAACACAGTAGAAAACTATTTGCCTCTACCTATTAACAACACCTGACCAGAATCATGGTTGACCTTAAATAACCCATCCCCCCCATCAGACACTCAGAACTCAAAATTAAATACGCCCCCTGGTGGCAATAAACACCAGAAAGGATAAATGGCTCCTACACTATTTGTTTATATTCGTGCTGGGCAATAACAATAAGCAATAACAGATGAGCAATTAGAAAAAAAAACTATTAAACATTTACAGTGTGTTGCAAATATATATTCAGTCATAGTTTCTTTAAAAAAAGAATAATTGTGGTTGATCACAATTAGTCACAAAAATATCTTGAATAATTGTGATTAAAACTTTTAATCTATGCCCAGCATTAATTAATAAATAACTGTTAGCAACAATAAAATATCACTGGTAACACAACGGTGATTAAATTTGAGTTTGGTCTCGAACCACTAATCCTGTTTCTTCAAACAGAGCTATCTGCAACAGGTAAGATACTTACTGCCAACGTTTCCAGTGCAGCGCAGTTTAGACTTGATTGATGATGGAACACGAGAACAGAAGCCAGCAGGCTGGAGAGAGAAGGTTGAGTTGGACTTCCTGTTTTCCTTCAGGGAGTCTCAGGAGTCGAGTGGCCAGAAGCTCCGGGAGCAGCAGATGCAGGAACTTCTCAAACTTCGAGAGCAGCTTCACTCGGTAGAAAAAGAGATGCAACAAGAACAACTCAACGAGGTAAAGACACTTGGTAACACCTGACACGTTGTTTCGGCTCCGATCGACGATGGAAGTTGTGTTTTCAGAGCTTCAAGAAGTTAAAGGAGCTGATGGGTGAAAGTCTGGCGGCTCAGGTGAAGAAGCTGAAGGAGATATGCGACAGGTACGTGCACGCCCGTAAAGACGCCGCGGTCGGTTTTGTGGTTTTATGACGCTTTATTTGTTGTCTCTGTGTCCGCAGAGAGAAGAAGGAGCTCCAGAAGATCCTGGACAGGAAACGCCTGAACAGCATCAGCGAAGCCAAAATGAAAGACAAAGACAAGCCTGAAATGTAAAAACAAAACTTTTTTTTCTTTCTTTGTGTATTTGGGACCAACATACAGTGATGACTGTGTTTAGATCCACTTCGGTTGTTTTATTTTATTGCTGTTGCTTCTGTTGTAACTGACTTGAACTCTAAAGGGATCTAGAGGAGATCAACAGGAAGCATATAATGGATTCTGTCGCCTCGCTTCGCAAGGTAGGTATTTACCACACACACACACACACACACACACACACACGTCTCATTGAGAGCTTTGTTAGACCTCTTCTACGTTTTCGCTCCAGCTGGAGGACGAGCAGAACCGGAGACAGGAGACCATCAACCAGAAGCAGCAGGAGCTGCTGCAGTATCTGGAYGAACTCTTTCCAAACGTGGTGAGCAACCAAACATCCAGGATTCCCACAGTCCTGCCTGACACACAAATGCCTCACGTCGCCCCGGCACCTCCCACCGCCCAGCTGAAGACAAAGATCAGGGAGAAACAACGGCGTTTTGTTTCTGCGCCGCGTCACAGAAACGTCACGCTCATAGTATGTGATGTGGAGGACTYTCAGCTACTACCACTCCAAATTTTAGCTCCGTGTCTTTAAAACTGAGTTAGAGCCGTGTTTGTGTCATTGTGGCGGCCATCTTGAATATGACTGGACCTGAAGGGTAATCGTACCGGAGGCGTTCAGTCAACGAGTTTCCAAAGCTTTAAGTAATCTTTCATCCAGTTTTTCYTGAGATATTTTACTGACAGAGRAACATGGTCAAAATACTCCCAGTTGTTCAGTGGTGGACATAGCTAACCAAAAAGCTAGCTTCATTAACTTATAATCCGCTGACTAAAAACAAAGCTTCGCTAACGCTAAACGTAAAAATTAGTGGATGCTAACACAAATTGCTTTTTGCTAACCGCTAAGTTGACTGTCACTCAGTCTGTGTCACATGTCTTCTTCTGGTGGGACTGACACAATCTTGCTAATGTTAGCATGCTAGTTAGCTGTTAGTTAATTCAAAGTTGGCAAAATAATTAATCCGGCAGAGGCAAATTGGTCCGCTAACAGCTTTCAAAGTTAGTGAAAAAGCTAATCTGTCAAATGAACAATTAGTTCCACTGTTAGCTCATTAGCTTATACGCCCACCACTGTTGTTGTGGAGGACTCTTGGCTACTATCATGCCAAACTTTAGCTCAGTATCTAAAATAGACTGAGTTTTAGGCATTTTTGTATTTCTGAGGTCAGTTGATCGTTTCGGCTCTTTTGCTACCTCGATCAGACAGAGGCGACCTGAAGGGATTTGTAAAAGAGCCTTAAAGGGATCCATGATTAGTTGTAACATTAGACTTTGTTTGATAAACATTTATTTTAACTGTAAAATAAAGACTGTAAAAACTGTAGGATGTTTAGTCTTTATCATTTTTAAACTAAAAGTTTAAAAATATATTACACAGACGGGGCCATTTTATTTACACGCAAAGCATTCTGGGTAAATGATGATGTGTTTATGTCCTCGGTGCGAGGCTGCTAGCGAGCTATATCCACCCTGAAGGTTAATCTTGGACAATATCTGATGATCGACTCTTTTAAATGAAACCAGAGAGCGTTGACAGAGAGGAGAAGGTAGAAATGACTCAGCCTGGAACTGAAAATATGGATGGAGGACAACAGAGCTGCTTCATGGAAGAAGAACCTCAGCTTAGCCTGTTAGCTTTTGCGCTAGCGCGACAAACAAGCTAAACTGAGGTCCTCCATCCATATTTTCAGTTGCAGCTGAGTTATTTTTGTGTTCCCCTCTCTGTCATGTGGATGGAGGACCTCAGTGACGAGAGGAGAATGTGTAGCACTGAGCTAATACATACAGTATATATATGGTGATAGCATCGGGGCTAATGCTAAAGCTAACAGGCTAAGCTGAGGTTCTTCTTCCATGAAGCAGCTCTGTTGTCCTCCATCCATATTTTCAGTTCCAGGCTGAGTCATTTCTACCTTCTCCTCTCTGTCAACGCTCTCTGGTTTCATTTAAAAGAGTCGATCATCAGATATTGTCCGAGATTAACCTTCAGGGTGGATACAGCTCGCTCACACAGAGGACCTATCCACATTATCATTTACCCAGAATGCTTTGTGTGTAAATAAAATGGCCCCGTCTGTGTAATATATTTTTAAACTTTTAGTTTAAAAATGATAAAGACTAAACATCCTACAGTATTTTTACAGTCTTTATTTTACAGTTAAAATAAATGTTTATTAAATAAAGTCTAATGTTACAACTAATCATGGATCCCTTTAACACTTTAACATGCATTCCTTTACGTTCAGTCAGTGAATGTTGTTGTTGTTGTTGTTGTTGTTGTTGTTGTTGTTTGGAGCAGCTCAGGGCTCAGCTGGACCAGGAGATAGAAGAGGAGCGTCAGGGTTTGCCTGAAGAGATCTGCCGGCTCCTTCAGGTGGATCCCCAGAACGACGCCTTCTTCTCGTCCAATCATAGCAGCCCCRGCTCGGGCCAGCCCTCCAACTGCTCCACGCCCATTTCTCCATCAACGCCTTACCGACACCAGAACAGCAGCACAGACATCAGCATGACGTCGACGACCCACTCCACCGCCTCCTTCCTGTCAGACGCAGACGCGTCGTTCGGGTCCTGAAGGACCAGAACGTGGGACTAGTCATAAACTTTTACTAGTTTTATGCCCCCCTTTTTTTTTAAGCGAACTCGTTTGTCCCTCGTCTACAAAGCTGTATTTTTTATTTTAACATATTTGTTGAAAAAAATTCTTAATCATCTGTTTTTACTTTTTACATTTTTTCTCCTGATTTTAATGTCCTACTTTTAATTTTTATGTCTTACTTTTCCTTCTTTTGTTGCAACATTTCCATCATTTTTCGGCAGAGTTCTAAGCTCSGCTGCAGCTTTTCGTTATCCGCGTCTCTTTTTGACTTTTCTGGAAGCTTTAAACAAAAAGGGTCGAAGGTTGTAAATATACATAGCTTTTTAATGCCTGCGTATCTCAGATACAAGAGGCATATTAAAACAATTTTCCACTCTTTAAGAAAAAAAATCTCAGAAAAGTAAAGTTTAACTGGAAATGAGAGGAAGAGGTGCAGGAATAATGAAGTTTTAGATGTAGTGTTAGAGGATGGCCTGTAGGTGGTGCTGCAACATTAACTTTTAGGTTTTTTATTACAAAAAAACGAGCTGTTTGAGCTCAATTTTCAGCATCATTGTTAAAATTAAAGTCTCAAGGCTTTTTTTAATCATAGTCGAGTTTATTTTTTTTATATGTGTCTAAACAGACAACTCTGTTTGGTTTAATTCGTTAAAATCTAACCAGTTTAAAACAGAGACGCTCATAAAAAAAATGTCCTTCTGCTTCAGGTGGACATTAGTGGGACGCTCAGACTTACCSTACGGTTGTTTGACGACTCAAAACTGCACTAAGATGCCAAACTGAGACTTGTTTTGTTTGTTTGTTTGTTTTTATTGCTGCTTTAACTTCACTTTAGCCTCCAGAATCCATTTCTTTCGATGTTTGTGAGGGGACAAGGAAAGTTTTATAAACATTTGTTTATAGTTTAACTTTGCTTGTTCAGACATTCGGCTCGGAGTGTTGGACGCTCCCGGGGAACCGGATATGGGATGTGTGGGAACACAAACGTATGTTAAAGTAATAGTTCAGATTCGTCAAAGTGGGGTTCTGTGGAGAGAATATGAACACTTATTATCTTACCTGTTGCAGGTAGCACTTTGAACCAACTCAGTCGCAGAAATGTTGTAATTCTGACCGGACTGACGAGGTGAGAGCTAGTCTGAAAGCCGACCGTGTCTCGACTTAAATCATTTGTAGKGACTCGTTCAAATGCGGTTTTATAAACATTTACTTTATTCAGGAAATTGTAAATCTGAACAGCAGCAGCTAGCTGTGGCTCTTCCTGCATGAATATTAGATTTCCCAAAAAGTTTTTTTAAAGCGATATGTGCTGGGTTTTTTCTCTCACTGCAGTTGATTTCAAGTTATATAAGAAGTGTCCGAGAAGTGCTACAGCTAGCTGCAAATGCTCATAYAATGTGAAATTAACGTTGGTTTAAAGGTCGTAAAATAACGTTTACATGAATTTAAAACCTTAGAGGCTGGATCTACTTTAATCTCAGTYCCACCCAGACTAACCGTTAGCTTGGTAGTATGGTCAGAATTAAATTTTATTTCTCCAGGGGGTTATCTACAGCAGGTAAGATATTGACTGTTCATAACACCTCCACAGGACCCCGCTTTAATAAATCTAAATTGTTGCTTTAATTTAAATCTATTTCTTCTGCTAAAGCTTCCAGTTCTGCTGTATTGAATGAGCTTTTCTCACAGCAGCTGTTTCTTTTTMCTGTTTGTCCACTTTGAAACATGATGGTACTTTGTGTAGATATTTTATGTATATGTGCAGTTGTACATGAATTTTACTACTGATGGAGGTACGTGAGGGCAAACTGGGCTGAGGGAAGAAACCAAACGAAGTTTAATTTTAATGCTTTGTCAAAAGGTCGTTTCTAGTTGATTATTTAGGGATAATTTTCCCTTCTCCCTGCTGTTAATGAGCACTGGCTGCCTTTCTCATTGATGACATAAAATCATGKTTTCTGTTCAAACTCATTCAGATTAATGTTTTATGGTTTTTGAAGTTCTTAATAATAGAAAAAAAATCAGGTGGCCAAGTCTGCAGAAGAGTTTAGATGAATTTTAAAAGGAAGCTTTTGTTTCCCTGAAATTCATCACATCTCTGTTTTCTTCAACTGGATTTTTTTTATTAGTTTTTAATGTTTGTTTGTTTTAACCAGTTGGTTTTGGGAAAGCTGTAGGAAGATTGTTTCAGATCCTTCAATCAGAAAATACRTTGGTTCATTGTACAAATCAAAACCTTCGTGGTGAATCCCAACACATTCCTCCCTTTTCAGGTACTTTAATTTTTTTTGTCTTTTTTCATTGAAGAAACTAAACTTTTTTGTTGTTAATCTTGTTAAAATGCACTTTCCCCCATCTGTTTTAAATATTTTGTGCTCCTGTGATGCAGACTTCAATACAACCACCTTCTAATGACATTTACTTTGTCTTCAGT